CATGATGTATCTTGGTTCTTATTTTTTCCCCATTACCTGTGCTCCCTTCACCCCTCCACCCTTCCCTATTTACATACTTCATTTCCATTTTTTTGTCTTTTCTCATAATACATTTTAGAATGGACAGGAAAGTAGATGATTTGCATTGGCTGTATTAGTCTGAGATGCCTTAGAGACCATAAAACTCAGGAGTTTTGGCCAAATTATAGAAATTTGGTCATGGTTTTCATTACTTTCAAGGAAGCCTCCTGAATGTTTAAATTTTACATGTAGTAAAACCTAATGTAATCGTGGACTGAGACAATCTCATGCTGGATAGTTCGTGTCTCTTGGTCTTCATCCTACAAAGGAGATTGTGCCAGATCAGCTAGACTCTTGACTAGTGAGTTCTAAGGCATTGTGTTTTTTCTAACACTCTTTTTTATTTATGTAAAATAAATTAAGCATTTTAAAGTACAATGCTGTGGCACTGAGTACATGGGCATTGTTACATACACAGCTTCCACCTCTAATTCTAAGACATTTTCATCACTCCCAAGGAAGACCCTGTCCAAGGTGCCACACTCAGCTCAGAGTTCCTACAAGCTTTTGGCCTCAGCACCTCTTCCAACTGTTAAAATTATTGAGGCCTTTAACAGCCTCTATTTATGTAGATTATACTATTGATGTCTACTATATTAGAAATGTAAGAATAAAATGTTTAAAGATTTATTTATTAATTCATTAAATGGCATCATTTTACATACTGAATTTGTAAGTCTCTTTCACATATCTGACTTAATAGAGGATAAATGGATAAACAATATCTTCTTCCTCATCCAATCCATAAGTAGTTCCCTTTATCCATAAAGAACTTTGTGAGGTTTCCCACGGTCAACATGGTCTGAAGATATTAGATGTTAAGCTTTAAATTGCATATCATTCCAAGTAGCATGATGAAATATTTAATAAAATTAATAATTTTATTAGTCCATCAAGGAAAATTTTAAGTAAAACTAGGCTCTTGTTGTTTTTTTTTTAAACCCAGTGAATGTGTGGTAGAGAAAAATACAGTGCCTGTTGGTGCAGCTTAATGACACTACCTGGATTCACATTAAGGCACCAGGAGTTCAATGACCAGTGTTTTACATCTCTTGGAAGCCCTTGAAAGGGGCTTGGTACCTTCCTTGGGGTCCACAGACCAACACTTTGAGAACTGCTATCTTACTTAAGTAAAAGATTCACAAATAATATGCTCATTCAGCCATATCTTTTTTTTTTTTTTTTGGTACCGGGGGTCAGGGGATGTGTCGGAACCACTGAGCTAAATCCCCGGCCCGAGAGCACATTTTAATGGCATAGTCACTCTGTGCTTTTGTGTCTTTATCTTCATGAGCATCCCCTCCTATACTTACTTGTTTTCATGACCTTTTTCTTTGCTTTTCTCCAAAGTGCTCTACCCAGAGTCACAACTGTGTCTTTTCTTTTTTAGTAGTGGGGTTTGAACCTAGGGCCTCGCACAGGTAAGCACATAATCCCCCCCCACCTTCTGCTGATTTTTACTTAAGCCCTGTAAATCGTAAATGGCACAGATCTTAAGCGAACAGCTTGATGTTTTACAAACGCATGCATCCTGAGATGCCCCCCGGCAGAAAGCTCCCCCTGCCCCCTCCAGTCAGTTCCCCCAAAGGAAGCCACTGCTCTGATTCCTGTCGCCAGAGACCAGTTCTGCCTGTTCAAGTCCAAGGCCGCCCTGTGACTCAGCCAGAGGAACGAGGACAGATGTCGCAGTGGGAGTCTCCAGAGTGCTTAGGGATGTCCCCAATCCGGGCAGTCCCCCACCATCTCCATCTCCTGGTGAGAAGCTGCACAGACCAGGCTCCATCTGTATCACTGAGCACGCAACATCCGGATAACAGAACACGGCTCAGGAAAGCCAAGGACCGAGTCCAGATGCACCCACAGGGCAGGCCCAGCACCGGGCGGATGTTGGCGATCCAAGCACAGCTGCTCCTGTATCTTTGGTTTTTTTGAGACATAGCCTTGCTATGTAGTCCAGACTGGGCTCAGACTATCAGTGATCCTCCTGTCCTCACCTCTCAGGGCCCTGCCTGTGAGCCTGGTGTCACCGCCTCCACCGCAGGGGAGCCGATGTTGGTGCCTTGACCGTGTGGCCTGCATCTTCGGTTCCCCTTTTGAGGCCCCTCCCTGGCCAGCCCAGTTGGAGCCCTCACAGCCCTGAGCATCTGGCCTTGGCCTTGGCCCTGGCACGGACTCGCTTCCCGCCTCACCCTCCTCACTGGCCCGCTCACAGCATTGGCACTCAGGTGGCGTGCCGTGACATGCTCAGCGAGGGGCAGACAGGACCCTCGGGCTCTCTGTCATCCTCCGGGATGGGGCACAGTGACGTGGAGCCTGTGGGGTATTCTGACTTGACGTTGCCACCCAGGGCTGTAGGTAACAGAATACAGAGACAAAAGCCATGGCCTCTGCAGGGGTGACACTGGTCTGGGGGCCGGCCATCTCCCTGCTGTCCCACCTCCTCCTGCCCTTGTCGGTCCTTCTCTCCAACCTGTCCCCAAGTCACGACTTCCTAGTCTGCCCTAGGGTCCACTTCCCTCCGTGTCCTGCTCCCACTTGTCTTTCGTCTCCCCCCCTCCCCCCACCGTAACCACGCTTGCTTCTGTTATAAGCGGGCCAGGTGGCCAGCTGGGGGTCGCTGGGGGCAGCCCTGTGACTTCACCACCTGGCCCTGCTGCCTGTGGAGATCCCAGGTGGGTGCGGGCCCATGTCTTGTGGTCACCGCTGTGTCCCCATGCCCCATGTGCTGTCTCCACCTGCCACCCACATGCTACACACGGCTGTGTGTTCCAGTGGTTCTAACCCCAGCCCAGGCTGAGCACCGAGCGCTCCCCTGGGACCCTCCAGGGGCTCCCGACATGGGGAATTCGCCCCTCTCCCTCGCTGGGCAAGATAGCAGTGGCAGTTTGCTTTGCATTTGGCTAGTGACATCCTTTGCTGACTGGCTGTATACGGACACACTTGCTCGGTATCAGTTGTTCCATGCTCAGCCCGGTCTCACTGTGCTGCCCAGGCTGTTCTGGAGCTCTTGGGCTCAAGCGTTCCTCCTGCCTCAGCCTCCCAAGTGCTGGCATTACAGGAGTGGGCCACTATGACCTGCTGCTTCAGTGAACCCTAAACATGCGGATCCTGAGTGACCCCAGGGACTCTTGTTTTCCTTTCTCAGTGGTAGAGGGTGGCTGATGGGCTCGTCATGCTGCTGCGGTCCAGGTGTATTCAGAAATAGCCGGTGCTGGCTGCTTTTGTCTTCCAGGATGGCTGTGTATTTCCACGGTGAAGCACATGGGGTCACTTACAACACCTACCACAGTGCACTTGCTCTGACTTTTAGTAAATTTACAGTAAACGTCGGTAAACATCGTCATGGTACACTTTTAGACCATTCACATCATCCCCGGAAGGCCCTCTCCCTCCCTTTGCAGTCAGTTCCTGTTCCCACTCCCAGGCAACCACTGAATGGCCTTCTGCTTCCATAGATTTATCTTTTCTGGACATATTTGTCATCTTCTCTCCTTTTATTTTGCCTTTATGTCATACATGTATGACAGTTATTTAAAACAGGTAGGAAATGTATTGAGATGTCTCTTGTTCTTCTTTTTTTTTTTTTTTGGTACCAGGGATCAAGCTCGTGTCCTTGCGCTTGCGAGGCAGGCGGCAGAACCAGTGAGCTAAATCCCCGCCCCTCTCTTGTTCTTCTTTGGTACTGGAGGTGGAACCCAGGGCTTTTGCACTGAGGTATATCCTCAACCCTTTTTAATGTTTTATTTTATTTTATTTTATTTTTTTGGTACCGGGAATCGAACTCGGGTCCTTGTGCTTGCACAGCAGGCGGCAAAACCACTGAGCTAAATCCCTGGCCCTTTTAATATTTTATTTTAAGACAAAGTCTTGCTAAGTTGGCCAGGCTGGGTTGGAACTTTTGATCTTCTTGCCTTAGGCCCCTAAATCTTGGGATTTCATTTATCTTGCATTCTTACTGCTGGGTTTTTTGTTTTTGTTTTTTTTGTGGGGTTTTTTTGGTACTGGGGATCAAACTCGAGTCCTTGCACTTGTGGGGCAGGTGGCGGAACCACTGAGCTAAATCCCCGGCTCCACTTACTTTGTATTCTTTTTGGTACCAGGAATCAAACTCAGAGCCTCATGTTTGCCAGACAGGCACTGTAGCACTGAGCTACATCCCTGGCCGTTAAATGCTGGGATTTCAGAAGTATGCCACCACACCCAGCTTGATCTCTTTCTCACATGAACATAGCCTAGAAATTTGTCCCTGTAGCCCCCATGCTTCCCCACCCCTGGGGCCTTAGGACCCTCCAGGTCCTGGGGGCTCCCCAGGGCCTAGCTGGAGCTGGTGTTTTTGCTGAGGTTTGCAAGACACAGTTGCTCCACCCCGTGTGGTCACACTTCCTGCTCCTCCAGCCAGACACATGAGTAACTTTTGTCCCTTTCTCCCCTCACAGGGACTTCCTTCCCCGAGGTTCAGGAATTGTCACCAGGCGGCCTCTCATTCTGCAGCTCATCTTCTCAAAAACAGGTATGGTGTGGCGGCCAGCAGCCTCCGTAGGAAGTGAAAGTGGACCTGGTGCCCAGGAGGAGCCAGGCCTCAGGGCAGAATCTGGGGTCCAGGGCTGTGTCATTTGGGTTTGAACTCACATGTCCCACATGTGCAAAAAAGGGTGAAAAATACGCTTCCACCCCCAGTGTCCTCAGCTGTGACCAGGCTGCCAGGTGCCACTGTTGCTTTCTAAATTACAGATGTCCCATTTTTGCTGAACCCTTTTGAAATCAGCAGCATATATCAGCCCAAAATGCTTCGGTGCACGGCTCTGTGCAGAGATGAGGCCCATGGAGAGGAGTCCTGACTGCGTGTTGTTGGAGGCCCAGTCCACCCTCATGTCTTAGCAGTTGTCTCCAAATAGCTTCTGCAGCTGGTTTTACAGATGGGCGGACCAAAGCTCAGCCAGATTACTGCAGGTCCTAAGATCTCCTCAGCTGCAAGCATGACCCTCCTGACCCTTGGGTCAAGGGGATCCTCACCCAGGCCATCCACCCTGAGACTTAGCTGTTGACTGTTCAGGCTCACCTTTGTCTTCTGACTGGGCCCAGCCCAAGTATGTGGGGTGTGGCTCCAGTGAGAACACCGGATTGGCTCAGAACCTCCTTTTCGGGAATGCTGCCATGTGATAGGCCACAGGCTGGCCAATGGGCTGGCTTCTTTGAATCCGGCATCCAGTCAGCTGTGGCAGAGCAACAGGTTTCAGATGTTAACCCTGATGTGTGTAGTCAGTTGGTCCACATTGGATTCTTGTTTCCCATTCAGCAATCGAGGGTGCAGGGGTGACCACCTGCATTTTTTAGTGAAATGTTGCTACAGCTGCTTGCCCTCCACCTGGTGGGGAGAGGGGACCCCCCCCCCCCAAAGCTGTGTTTCCTGCCTTCCCAGTGGAGGTATCCGGGCCAGGCACACACCAGGCCTTTGCTAGTGTCACTGCCCGAATGGCTATGGTTTTATATTTTTCAGCTCATTCAGGGTCCATCTGTTGGAGAACAGATGGGCTGGCTTTCTGCATTGGAAGATTGCTGCCTGTTGCCATGGTGGAGGCTGGGAGGGTTCCCCTGTCACCCACACAGAGCCATCACCCAGCCATAGCCCACTGAGCACTTAAGTGTGTCACAGTCTGGTCCAAGGACTGGGTTGTGCCACACCACCTGGCCCTGGCTGGTGAGGAGCAAGCGTAGTTGGTAGCGGGGTGGGAGGGCAGGCAGCCTTGGAGCTGAAGCTGAGGGTGCACTGGGCTCTGCAGTGGGTGAGGGAGCTCTCAGGGTGGGGTAGGCACGGAGACTGAGTGGTTGATGTCCAGAGGGGCTAATGGAGGAACAGAAATTGAGACCAGGTAGGGACTGTGAGCCCATGAAGGCATAGGGTCTGCTGGTGAGCGGGCTGAGGCTTCCAGATGCCTTGCCTGAATCCACAGTGTCTTAAAGTGTGACCTGAAGCCAGCCCTTGGGGAATGTGGGTGCACACCAAGGTGTGGCTGCTAATAGACAGGGAGGACAGAGCAGGTGCTGGGAGTGGTGGCGCCACCAGGGATGGGGTGGGGGAGACATCGGAGGAGATGGAGGCAGCTGCACGCTGCTGGGCTGGGTGGGTTTGTCTCCTGTGGTAGTGACCTGTCCCTTCTCCAGGGAGGCAGCATGGGTGCTCCAGCATGGTGTCCACCCCAGCCTTGGCCTGGAGTCGCTGTGGACAGGCTGAGAAAGGCCAGTACCCTGGGTTCTGGATCTGCCCTCCTGCCCTGGGCCATGGAAAGCACCTAAGGCTGGGAGGGGAGCCTGGTGGCTGGGCAGAGCCGGAGGTGGAGGCCAGGGCCAGGCTGGTTTAGTACAGGATTCAGGTCACCTGGAAGGCCCTGGAGTGTGGAGGGGGGAGGGGCCGGGAGAGGTGTGGCAGGGTGACAGGTGACGTGGAGAGGGGCCTGGGCTAGGAGGCAGGACGTTACTGAGGGGAGGGGAAGGCGGGGATGTGCTGGCCCTAGGGGCCATGGGGGCTGTGACACTCTTAAAGCCTGGAAGCTCTTTGAATTGGCTCTGGGGCCAACTTGTTACCACTCCTTGGCCAGGGCTCTGGCAGGCAGCTCTCCTTTGTGTACCTCAGTTTTCTCGTCTGTAGATGGGGGTGGTCGTGTGCTCCTTCGAGTCCTTGGTGCCCTGTGTGGCTGTGAGACACACACACACACACACACACACACACACACACACACACACACACACGAACGCATGCAGTTCCAGGGCTTCCCAGCTCCCTGCTCAGACTGATCTAGTGAACCATGACTTATAACCAGCACTGATTAAAAATTACCCGAGACTGAAGCCACCAGGAAGCTCCATGGCCTGCAGGTGAACCCTGCCTTCTTTGGGAGTCACCCTTGAGCCTAGTAATCCCTGGGTGCTGGAGACTCTTCCTGTGTGACATGAGTGACAGGGCCTGCCGAGCCCCCCATTCCTGCCTTGACCTTGACCTTGACCTTGGTCTGCACTCGCAGGAGACTCAAGAGCTGTCAGATTTGGCTAGCAGGCTTCCTATCTGCCTCAGAAGGCTCCACCCCAGGGCTCTGTGGGCTCCCTCTTGACCCTCCGGCGCTCCTCTTCCCACCTCCAGGCCTTCAGTCTCAGTGCTGTCCCTGCCTGGAACACCCTGCCTGCCCCGTCCTTCCTCCCTGTCCTGTCCTGTGCTGTCCTGGTGTATTTGCCATGGTCTCTCCCCACTGGGATGGCAGCGCACAGGGCAGGAGTGCTGGTCCACTCTGCTGCTGTCACCTGGTGCCCAACCTGGGGCCTGGCCCCCATTGGTGCCCCAGCAGCACAACCTGTGTGTGGAAAGTGGGTAGGGTTAAGCCCCATGTGGCAGCACAGACTTGTAGTCCCAGCTGCCCTGAAGGCTGAGGCAAAAGGATTGCTTGAGCCTGGGACGTCAGGACCAGCCTGGGCAACATACCAAGACCTCCTGTCTCAGAAAAAAAAGAAAAAATCAGCAGGTGGAGTTATCAGCACTTTATCCAGCATCTTCTCCCAGGGAGCCCTGCTGGGGAAGGCTCTTCCTAGAAACCTGACAGCTCCATCTTCAGGGGTTGGGTTAAAGCCTTGGATCCCCCTGGGTGCCCCTAGTCATTTCCCTGCCTTCTGGGCTCTCTTGAGACAAGACAGCCTGGAGCCAGCCTCCAGGAAGTCTGGGTGCTTGCTGGTCCCCATACCAGCAGCAGACATCGTCACCTTTCCCGAGGCAGTGGGGCCAGCCAGGATGTGGTCACTGCTTGTCCCAGGTCAGAGGCAGCTCGAGAGCCAAACAGGAAGGGGAAGTGGCCTTCATGCTGTCACCTCGGGCTAACAGCCCTGAGAAGTCCCAGGAGAATAGCTCCTTATTGAGTGTCGGGTCTCAGGGTCCCTCAAGCATGTCTGGGCTCCAGGTCGTTCGAGACTGGGCGTGGCTGTCGCGGTGCTGGATTGGGGCCTGAAGAGCCAGCCTGGCAAGTGTTGCCCTTTGCCAGGTTGGGAGCAGGGAAGACGGCAGGCACCAGGGCAGGGCCTCTGTGCGTAACGAGCTGAGACCCTGGTGCCCTGCCAGTCTCACTCTGAACCTGCCGTGGGCTTCACCGAGAAACCAGCATTACAGAGAAACTGAGGCAGTAAGTGATGGGCTAGAAGCCCGAGCTGTTTGTGGCTCAGCTCTTGGGCTATGCATGCCAGTGCACTCCTACCTCTCTTGTTTCTTGAGACAGAGTCTCACTATGCTGTCCAGACTGGGGGTCCTCCTGTCTCAGTCTCCTGCTAATAGGATTACAGGCATGTACCACCATGCCAGGCCCCACTTGTCTCTCTCTGTTTCCCCATCACTTTCCAAAATCCTGTTCTGGGTGCCTGACCCACCCTCCCTGAGCCTGTGGGCCTGCACTGAAGGTAGATGTTTGTTTGTTTTTTCTAGCAACAGGTTTCCCAGTGGAAACTTGACTTTTTGCAACTTCCGGGAAAGGCCACTAGGCACATGCCCTAGGGTCCTTGTGGGACTGGGACCTCTTCAGGCCCTGCTTCCTTGTGCCCTGGGCTACCTGGCCTGGGGAAGGTGGGGAGTGGCCATGTTAGAGCAGTGGGACCCACTGGGGGTCTCAGGCATCTTGTCCTCTCAGGGCTGGAAATTCCCGGCCAGGACTGAGACTCCTTTGTAATAAATAGGCTATTCTGTGTGCATTTGTTAAACAGCTACTGTGTGCCACCCACTGGGAGAACAATCATCCAGATCTGGCCCTTGTTCCCACTCCCGCTTCCACATGGGCCTAGAGGGAGGCAGAAGTGCTTCCTGGAAAGCACCCCTTTATCATAAACACTGAACCCCAAGTGAAGGGGCTGTCGAGGAGCCCAAGGGTTGGCAGTGCAGCTGCTGGACCAGGGCCTGGGGTCCCCCTTTCTGCCCTGGCTGCCCCAGAAGGAACGCACCCAGCTTGGTGTGCAGGTCTGCACTGGGAGTGCTGGTCAGCACTGGCCCAGGACCAGGAGAACTGGCTTTGTTACCTGGAAACTCTGTGGCCAGGGAGGGAGGGGTACAATGGCCAGTGGGGACCGGGACGGGCAGGGCTGGCAGTGGCACAGTGGCTTGATATTGGCTCATAGCCACTGATGGATTCTTTGAGCTGGTGACTCTTTAACCCAATCAGTAGGGGCATCAGAGCAGGGACCAGGAGGGGACCAACGGAACCTGCAGGAGGTCGTGTGTGCAGGCCGACTTACCAGGGTGCCTTGCCCTGTCTGGGCTCCCTCCGTGTCTGTTGGGAGGATGGTAGAGCCCCTGGCAGCTGCCAGTTTCTCATGCAGATGTAGATTCCTCGTGTTCCCATGAAGGCTCCTTGGATGCCCATTTCCCACATTAGGAGCTGAGACCGAGTGGGGCCTCACTGCAGACCGAGCTGATAACTTCGGTCTTCATGGGCCTCTGCGGGGCTGTGGTGGGCAGCGTGCCCTGGCTGAAACCGGGATGGGGCCCAAGCTGCAGGACTCAGGGAAGGCTGCCCAGGAGAGACAGCAGGAGGAGAGAGTGAGGGCAAAGAGGGCCAGACCTCTCAGACCCCTAGGGCTAGAGGCCAGCAGGGCAAGGCTACATCCTGGGCCCAGCGGCTGGCTGCACTGCTTCCCTCAGGGCAAACTCCAGGGCCTGGAGCCGGAAGAGAGCTGAGATTCTGTGGGGGTTGGAGGTCCATTTTTAGTAGCAGCTGCAGGAAGAGCAGCTGAGTATTTCCTCTTGTCCCATGAAGGCCCGAGTATGACTGTCCTTGGGAACTAGGTAGCTGACAGCAGGGTGGGGTGGGGAGGGGACCCTGGAGCTTCCCGCAGTGTCCTCATGGCCCCCACTTGGTGGCCAGGGCCCCAGTGGGGTACCAATTTGAGGCCCTCAAGTCCCCTGGCCCTGAAGCAGAAAGGCACAGAGGCAAGGACCCTTTCGAGGACCTGGCTTGAGAGCCACAACCCCACCAGCTTGTCAGAGTTCTGAGGCCCAGCTCCGCCCTGAGTTTGGGCCCAGCCACTTTCCCAACCTGCCTGAGTTGGGGCTGGGCATGGGACAGGGTCGGCACCATCCCCCCCTTAGAGATTTCCCACTGCCCTGGCTCTGCGATTTCCTGGGAGGCCCCAGCTGGTGGCTGTGCTGTTTGTGTGGCCGAGTCTCCTCCCGGTGGATGCCCAGTGGTCTGTCTCCCCACAGAACACACACCTGCCAGCAGGCTGCACTGTCTTTTGATCTCTGCCCTGGGCAAGTCTCTGGCCTCTGCCACTGTGACTTGCTTCCCCCCTCTTTCTCTCCTTCCTTTTTTATTTCTTTTCTTTTTCTGTTCTGGGGCTTTGCACTAAGCTACAGCCCCAGCCCTTATTTATTTATTTTTTGTCTTAAGTTTTTCTTTTTCTTTTCTTTTTTTTTGGTACCTGGGATTGAACTCGGGACCTTGCGCTTGCGAGGCAGGCGCCAGAACCACTGAGCTACATCCCCGGCCCTCTTTAAATTTTTATTATGAGACAGGGTCTCACTAAGTTGCCCATGCTGGGGTCAAACTCACGATCCTCCTGCCTCAGCCTCCCAGAGTGCTGAGATTACAGCCCTGAGATACCCCACCTGGCTCCCCTTTCTTTTTAGCATCACTGTAGGACCTGTGATCGCTGAGCTATGAGGGTGCTCCCTTCCCAACATTTTACTAGGAAAGTTCAAACATTTGGACAGTTGGGGAACTGCTCAGTGGACACTGGCCTGCTCAGCATCCACACTGCAAGGTGAACAAGTCCGTTTCCTTTGTCTCATCTCTGTGCTTTGGGACTCGGTAACAGGACCCTCGCTGCCTTGTCAGTCACTTATCTGTTCCCCTTCCTGTTGGTCTCAGCCCAGCTTTCAGACAGCCCTGAGCCTCATCTGCTTGAGGTCCTCCCCAGAAAGTGTGTGAGGGGCCTCTGTCCAGGTTGGGTTCCCTTAAACAGTCAGGAGGTGAAGAAGGGACATCAAGATGGACCTTGATGAGGCCACTAGAGGTGCCTGTGCCCCAAAGCTTGTGGGCATCTTGGGGAAGAACATAAGCCCATGAACACCCCTGTGATCTGCAGTGACGACCCAGGACTCAGACGCCTCTCAGAACCGAAGCAGAGTCATTGTCACACACCTTCCTCCCCTCTGGGTGATACAGCCTGGCATTTCCTCATCAGGTCTGTGAGTGAGCAAGAAGAACAGGGTTGGGGGTGTGCAGTCCAGTGGTTAGGACATGCAGGGCCCTGGGTTCCGACCCCAGCCCACTCTGCACTTAAAAAAAAAGAGAAAGAAAAGAATAAGCACTGGTCACACCCACCTGCTATGTTTTTTCTGACTCATAGTCATGACAATAGTTTGTAGAATTCTCCTCCACAGGCTGCATCTTTGCCAGTATAGGTTGAGCATCCCTGATCGGAACATTCACAATGTGAAATGTTCCTCTTGAGTGCCAATGTGATATCACCCCTGAGAATTTCCATATCTGGGTCCTTGTGGCTGTGTCACTGTTCAAACACCGGGAGACAAAAAACATTGTGTAAAACTGCCTTTAGGCAATATGGGTAACTAAGTGTGAATTTTGAATTTAGACTTGGGTCACTTGCCCATGATAGCTCACTGTGTATATGGAAATATTTCAAAATCTGAAAAAGTCCAAAAGTTGCAACATTTCTGGTCCCAGCTATTTTGCATAAAGGATACTTCACTTATTTCCCTTTTGGAATCTCCAGGGTACAGAAGGGGGCTGTGTTAGCCAGCTTTTTCTTGCTAGGATAAAAAAGTAGGTGACATACACAGCTTGAAGAAGTGGTATACATTCGCTCACGGTTTCAGAGGTTCAGGCCATGGTTAGCTGGCTCCAAGGCAGGAACAGCACGGCAGAGGGGCACTGAGGAGGAAAGGTGCACAGCCATGACAGCCAGGAAGCAGAGAGTAGGAAGAGGCAGAGCAGGAGGAAAGGTCTGAGGATAAGAACACCATGACCAGGGGCCATGGATTTAGCTCAGTGATTCCACTGCCTGCTTTGCAAGCGCAAGGTCCGGAGTTCGATCCCCAGTACCAAAAAAAAAAACAAAGCACCATGACCAGGTCACAGCTCCAGTGACCCACTTCTGCCAAGCAGGCCCCAGGCCCTGTCAGCACAGCACTACCATGATCCAGTCACCTCCCAAAAGCACCACCTCTGAACACATGAGCCTTTTGGAGGACACAATACTTGTCACAAGAGTGACTCTCTTGCCTTCTAGATTCCTAAAGAAAGACTGTGGCTGCTTCTTTTCTTTCTTTTCCTGACAAAATGCTTGTTCTAGAAAGCAGACTGTTTCCCACTCCTGACAAGACTGTTTCTCCTCATTTTATTTTATTTTTTTTTTAATTTTTTTTTTTTTGCGGTGCTGGGATCGAACTGGGGTCCTTGCACTTGCGCAGCAGGCGGCGAAACCACTGAGCTAAATCCCCGCCCCATGTTTCTCCTCATTTTAAACATCTTCCCTTGATTTACAGAATATGCCGAGTTTCTGCACTGCAAGTCCAAAAAGTTTACAGACTTTGATGAAGTCCGGCAGGAGATCGAAGCGGAGACAGACCGAGTCACGGGGACCAACAAAGGCATCTCCCCAGTGCCCATCAACCTGCGGGTCTACTCGCCACATGGTAGGTAGCCTTCGGAGGCAGGAGTAGGGGAGAGGCAAGTTGGCTGCCCAGGGGCTTCCCGCTCACAGAGCATGCGCATTATCCTCCTCTGGGCACAGGCACAGAACTCTACAAAAAACAGCCCTTGCCAGCATGGCTGACCAGCGACTGGGGCAAGTGGCTCGTGTGTGGCCCTGTGAAAAAGGGCAGCGCTGGACTGTGGGTGCAGCTTAGAAAAAAGGACAGCACCTTCGTGTGAAACACTAGGTCTTCCGGTCCAGAGCCAGATGCCATAGCGCACACCTGGAAACCCAGCCACCTGGGAGGCTGCACCAGGAGGGTCACAAGTTCAAGGCCAGCCTAGGAGTTAGCAAGACCCTGTCACAAAGTAAGAAATGATGACACCACGCATGGTGATTACAATCCTGTAATCCCAGCACTTTGGGAGGCTGAGGCAGGAGGATCACAAATGGGAATGCAACCTAGGAAACTTACTTAGTGAGAGCCTGTCTTTAAATTAAAAATTTTAAAAAGGGTTGAGGATGTAGTTCAGTATGAAGACCTTGGGTTCCATGTCCATTGCAAAAAAAAAAAAAGGAAAGAGAAGGGATGGAAGATAGTAAGCAAGCAGGCAGCTGGGCTGTAACTCAGTGGTAGAGTGCTTGCCTAGCATGTATGACCCTGGGTTCCATCCTGAGCACCACCAAAAAGAAAAACGAGCCAGAAACCAGACTTTTCTGCAAAAGGTCTCAACTTTAAAACTGCATTCTAACAGCAGCCTGCGGGTATCTATAGCCTCTAATCCAGAGGCCCGGCTTGCTACCTCAGATTGTGGGGGGCTTTTTTGTTTGTTTGAGACAAGGCCTCTCTATGTAGCCCAGGCAGTCTCATGCTTGTGGCCATCCTCCTGCCTCAGCCTCCCAAGTGCTGGGATTACAGGCATGCACCTCTGTGCCCTGCAGTATGCATGTATGTATCATATATGTGTACATCACCACTGTTAGTAAAATTGTGGCATACCACAGAAACCATTTATTCCTCCTTTTGTGTATGTGTGACTGTCTCAGAGTAGTAGTTTTTTGTTTTTTTGAGACAGGGTCTCTCTATGTAGCCCCGGTTGGCCTTGAGTTCATGGCAATCCTCCTGCCTCAGCATCCTAAGTGCTAGGATTACAGGCATGCCTGGATTCAGAGTATATTTCTTGTCAAAGCACCATCATTTTGCTTCTAATGCTTCCTTGGCATTGGCCGAATGGATGGATGGATGGGCTAGAATTTAGCCATTTGTAAAATACAGGGTCTGTGACACTGGAATAGAGAAGGTGCAGGGTGTTTCTGACTGGGATCCTAGCAGAGGGGTTACTGGAGCAAAGGGGTTGAGGATGTGGCCTGGTGGTAGAGCACTCACCTAGCATGTGTGAGGTGCTGGCTTCAGTGGTGCACACCTGTCATCCTAGCACCCTGGGAAGCTGAGGCAGGAGGATTGCAAGTTCTAGTCCCACCTGGGCAACATAGCGGCACCCTGATTCAAAAAATAAAAAAGGGCGGAAGATGTAACTGAGTAGTAGAGTGCCCCTGAATTTGACCTCCAAAAGGGCTGGGAATTTAGCTCAGTGACACTGCCTCTGCTTCAGAAGTGCAGGATCCTGAGTTTGATCCCTGGTACCAAAAATAAAAACCAAAACAACAACAACGAAATTTGACCTCCAATCCCACAATAAAGGAACAAAGGAAGGGAAAAGAAAGGCAAAAGGTGTGGCCCAGCAAGGACTCGAGGCAGCATCTTGGATCTTCCCAGGATGGGTGGGGTCTCCGTGGGGCTCTAACCACCTTCCCTCTGATTCCCCTCAGTGCTGAACTTGACCCTCATTGACCTCCCGGGCATCACCAAGGTGCCCGTGGGGGACCAGCCCCCAGACATCGAGTACCAGATCAAGGACATGATCCTGCAGTTCATCAGCCGGGAGAGCAGCCTGATCCTGGCTGTGACGCCCGCCAACATGGACTTGGCCAACTCCGACGCCCTCAAGCTGGCCAAGGAGGTCGACCCCCAAGGTAACCAGCGGGACCTGGGCACTGGCCTGCTCTCTCTGGCCCTGCTTTCTCCTGAGGAGCAGGGAATCCTCGGGAAGGCCACTTGGGGCAGTTGGCCACCCCTCCTCAGGCAGTGGTGCCCCCTGTGCCAGCACAGAGGAGGGGACCAGTGTGCAGTGTCAGGCAGCTGTCTGCCACTGTGACAAATGCCTGGGGTCATCAACTGATAAAAAGGTTGATTTAGCCTCAGCTTTAGAGGGCCCAGGCCAGAGATGGCAAACCTTTTAGAGCTTTCATTGATACAAACAGCCTGCTGCACCATGCGCGTGCCATAGTTTCGCCACCACTAGTCTAGGCCATGGTTGTAGGCCTGAAACTGTTTGAAAATGATCAAGAAAAACAAGCAGGCAGGCCTCTTGTCCCCTCAGGGACTCTGCCCTCAGGAGGCTGTAGGGCAACCAGGCATGGTAGCATAAGCCTGTAAGCCTAGCACTCTGTAATCTCAGCACTTGGGAGGCTGAGGCAGGAGGATCTCTACAAATTTGAGGCTAGCCTGAACTACATAGCAAGACCCTTTCTCAAAAAAATAAGACTTGCAAGTGCAAGGTCCTGAGTTTGATCCCCAGTATCAAAAATTAAAAATAAATAAATAAAAAAGACCCAGCTATAACCTTAGCCCTTGAAGGGCACAGGCATGAGTTGTGATGCCCCCCTGAAAGTTGCTCATCCTGCCCGACAAGTAGTCACCCTGGGTCACAATGGGAACAGCAGTCCCAGCTGCAGGCCGCCATGAGGGCCGGCCCGTGATCTCCACATGGTGATCTCCACACGCTGCTCAGCGGCCTGACTGACAGTGCAGGAGAGGGATAGGTTAGCAAGCCAGCCAGGCGGTAGGGCAGAGGTGGGCAGAGGTGGGCAGAGGTGGCCACAGCGGCCGTGACCAGGCATACCAGAGTCTGCCTTCTCAGGTGGCCACTTAGGACCGAGTTAAGTGCTCACTGCACGCCAGGCTGGATCTGGGCTTTGGAGGTCCAGCGGGGCACACGAGCAACAGGCTGAGGCTGACGCTCAAGAAAGGGAGATAATAATAAATAGCACGAGAGGTCCGCCCAGGGGCGCCAGTGAGAAGGCGGGGCCTTGCAGTTGCAAGGCAGGCGCTGAAACCACTGAGCTAAATCCCCGGCCCCCCCCCCTTTTTTTTTTAAGGTACTTGGGAGTAAACCCAGGGCTTTTTCACCAAGTTACAACCTCAAATCTTTATTTTGAGACAAAACCTTGCTAATTTGCTAAATTGCAGGCTGAGATTGAATTTATGATTTCCCTGCCTCAGCCTTCCAAAGTGCTGGGATTATAGGCATGGACCACCACACCCTGCTAAAAGAACATTTTCTTGTTTCTTTTTCTTTTTTTTTTTTCAGTGCTGAGGACTAAACCCAGGGCTACATTAATGGTAGACAAGTGCCCTAACACTGGGTTATATGGCAGTGCATTTTTGGAGTTTTCAGAGTTTTAATTAGTTTCTCAGTGGGATTCATGACCCTTCCAGTCTTGAAGTTCTTTCCCTTGTTCTTCTTGTTACATTTCAAATATGGTTTCTCATGCTGGATCTTTAAAAAAAAACCTGGTCAGTATAATCTCTAATTATATACATGTTATCCTTTTACTTTGAACATGATTAAAATTTCTCTTTGGGAATTTTGAACCTGTCTGAGTGTCATTCATTTTCTATTCACTATCTTACCTCCTCGGGGTAATTCTGTGTGAAGATAAGCCAGTCCTCTAGTCACAGAATGAGCCAGGCGGCAAGAGCTTACCCAGTCACTTGTATGAAGACTCAAATACTTGCATAGAGACCCCTATTATGGAGGAAAAAATGTAAAAAAAAACCAAGGAATTAATTTAACAGGAAGAGGTTAAGTCTGCAACCTTATAGAGGATTTGCATAGGCATGAAGACCTAATGAACTACATTACAGAATCTTGAGAAAGGCAGCAATGTATACCTGTGTGAAAAAAGAAGAGGATGGAAAGGGAAGAATTTAAACATCAATTTTTACGTCTCCAATATTAAAAATTATGAATGGGGTTATTTTCATATAAATGCACCAGTACAAACTATTTTTTTTAATAGTTTACAAGCAGAAAACAGAAGGCTTTTATAAATGTAGTAAGCTCTCTGTATCTGTGGGTTCCATACCCATAGATTCAACCAATCCAGATAAAAAATTAGCAAGGGCTGTGGACTACAGCTCAGTGGTGAGAGTACCTGCCTAGCAGCATCACAAAAACAAAACAAAAACAATCGGTATTGAACATGTACATCCTACTTTTTTTCTTGTAAATAAATTAGAGATGATGTGCCTGAGTTACATGAAAAAAATACCACTTGCCATTTCACATGAGTGACTTGAACATCTGTGGATTCTGGCGTGTGTGTGTGTGTGTGTGTGTGTGTGTGTGTGTGTGTGTGTGTGTTGTCCTGGAACCAGTCCCCAAGAAGACTAAGAGATGAATATATGTATGTATCTATGCTTCTCAAAGTGTTCATCCACAAACTGCTCCCAGTCTCTGATGAGGTAAGGAGCTTTACACTAGGATGAAATATTAATCAAAGTGCTGCTTCATTCACTGAGAAAATCTAGCTACCAAAAAACGAAAGAGAAAAGAAAGGGGGAAGGGAGGAACAAGAGCTGAATAAACAATATAATTAGTGATGAATCTGATTCAAATTCTGGCATGAGCTCTGTATCTCACTGCAGACCATTAATAACCAGACTATGAACCAGCAATGCTCTCTATTATAGAGGTCTTCCCGAAAGTCCAATTGACAGTTAATATAAATGAGTTTGTTTTTATGAAGAACTTACATTGGGATAATACTCCATCACAAGCAAGTATTCCATGCGCCCATCTGCTGTGACTCTCTCATCTCCAACTATAAAGCGAGCAATGTTGTCATGTTCCATCAAAGGCACTCGGTAAATATTTTTTTCATTGATAAAATTCTGACGATTTGTAAAAGAAAACACTTTTACAGCAACTGGACGCTCATCCAAGGAACCTTTATATACTGCTCCATATCGGCCTCGGCCAATCAGCTGCAAGTTTGTTTTTTAAAAAGGCAAGGTATTAATTCATATCAAAATTGAACAATCAAACGTACTAAATAATCAAATACAAATCCACATGATGTGCCACAGCTCTCTACTGCTTGCAATCACTATCAAGAAACTACTGGGCTGGGGATTTAGCTCAGT